TTAATATCCTAATGATTTTTGGCATAAAAAAAAAATGTATAATTTTGACCCATACAATGTATTGTTGGCTATTGCTACAAATATACCCCAGCGACTTAACACTGCTTTTGTGCTGCAGAGTCACAAATATATATATTTTTTTACCGCAGTATGCATCTATAACTTTCTGTGGGTGCTGTTGTGCTCATTTGTTCTCTCTCTCACACTCAATATTATGACATAAAATAAGAAATGGGTCAAATACGTGGTGCTCATCTTTTGTCCATTAAAACTGCATATTCACTGACTTGAACAGATCTGTTATTTTCTAATATTTCCAAGAGAAAACAAACTGATTATAATATTTGAAAAACTAGCTGCCAAATTAGAGTCATGTGGTAAAATCAACATGCAGAAGAAAAAGGAAATAATATCATATAAAACAGGAAATGATAATGATGACGAATCAGATGTCAGTATATTAGTGACACTGATCTTGTGACTCATTTGAGCAGGTTTGTGTCAGTGATCAGGGATATTTCATAGTTTGATCTGGATTTGATCTCAAACAGCATTTTTAAGAATTAGTTTTGTGATTTTACTTACACACACACACACACACACACACACACACTCTCTCACACACACACATATACATATATATATATATATATATATGTGTGTGTGTGTGTTTGTAAAATATTTTTTTCACTTTCATACTTGTATATTTATTCCTATATATAAGAGCCTGTTACATTTATACTCCATTATAGTATCCTTGTTTATGGTTTTTCTCTCTTTATTGTATTTTATTGTTTGTTGTGCAGCACTTTAGTTGGCCCTGTTCCATGCTTAAACGTGCTCTAGAAATAACTGAACTTAAACTATTACAAATATACTACAAATCAAATACAGTATTTTGTAGTTGTGTGTGTGTGTATATTTATATATATATATTTTTTTTTGAAAGAAGTCTCTAATGCTCATCAAGGCTGCATTTATTTGATCAAAAATACTATGTAATATTGTGAAATATTTTTACAATTTAAAATTGGTTTTCTATTTTAATTTACTTTAAAGTATCATTTATTTCTGTGACATAAAGCTGAATTTTCATCAGCCATTAATCCAGACTTAAGTGTCGCATGATCCTTCAGAAATCCATTATTAAAATAGAAAACATTATTTTAAATATATACATTTATTTATTCAGATATTACAGCATACTGTTTAGTACATATTATAAAGAACCATTTAAAATGAACTATTCAGGAATGAAAAATAAAGTGTACATTTGAGCATCAGATGGTGTTGATGAGGTTCTGCATGAGCGACTCGGATGTCTTGTGCTTTTGTGAGTGAGATCTTGAGGTCTGTAGGTGTGACACAACAGCCACTCACTCATTCCACACTATATTCCTCCGGTTTCTCCGGAAGCCTGCGTCTCGCACCAATCATCTGGAACAGCTTTGCCGCACTAGTTTCCGTGTTCCTGGAGATTACAGGCTTTGAAGCACTCTTCTCTCTTTGTCTGCGTGCAATGCACTCTGGTAATTAACTTTGTCCTTCTTTTATTTGTTCCAGTCTTCCTCCGTCCACTCTTCTGAGCATCTTCTCCCAGGAGTACCAGGTTAGAAGTTTTCTTCCTTTGTGCGGCCTGACAGCTGCCTAATTGAATGATGAATGTCCCCTTATTTCTGTGTAATTGAACTGCCAACTCTCTGATTGGTTTGGAGGATTCCCTCCGACCGACACAGACACGCAAACACACACACACGCACACACACACACACACACACACACACACTCTCACATGCACACACACACACACTCTCTCACACACACACATGCACGCACACACACGCACGCACGCACACACGCGCACACGCACACGCACACACACACACACTCACACACACTCTGATTCTCGGTGGACCTCTGCCAACTCCATCTGTCTAATAACATCGAGCCGCTGCTTATTTGCCGGACCTGCAATAAATTATGCTAAACCATTATTATTCTGACAGTAATAATTTCCCGGTGCAGCGCGGCTCGGTGTGCTAAATGTTTGCTGACTCGCGCTGTCGCGGCTGCTTTGGGCTTCTGACAGCCGATGAAGATCGATGGCCGCTGCTGCGGTGGCAGACGACTGCAGAGGCACAAAACAGAGCCATTCATCATCCGGCCGACAGCTGTCACTCACTCGTGTGTCTCGCAGAATTACTTTTGTAGTTTTTAAATAAGTTGTTTTTAAGCGCCGCTCTCGCTGTCCTCTGCTGAATCGCATTAGAAAGGAAAGCGGGAGCGGATGTAGTTTAGTAGAAGAGGAAATTAAAGCGCAGGGCCACCTGACCCCTCAGAGCCAGAGCGAACGCTCCCACACACACAGTGAGAAACAGTGAAATATTACAGTTTAAAACAGCTGTTTTCTATGTGAATATCTGTTAAACAGTCATTTATTTCTGTGATGCGCAGCTGTATTTTCAGCATCATTACTCCAGTCTTCAGTGTCACATGATCTTCAGAAATCATTCTAATATACTGATTTGCTGCTCGAGAAACATTTCTGATTATTATCAATGTTGAAAACAGTTGTGCTGCACAATATTTTTGTGGAAACCGTGATGCATTGTATTTGTCAGGATTCACAGATGAACAGAAAGTTCAAAAGAACAGCATTTATTTGAAACCGAAATCTTGATTGTTAGTGTCTTTACTGTCACTTTTGATCAATATAATGCGTCCTTGTTAGTAGTTTCGATGGTAGTGTAAACAAAACTGGTTATTTTATTAATCCCTGTTTTTTTTAACTTAGTGGACTCGATTCAAAATACCATTTGATTCATGTCATGAATCAGTTCACATTATTAAACCACTGAGTTCAAAACAGCTAGTCTGATTCCAGATCAGTGTCTCAAGTTATAAACATATAAACTGTACTTTGCGCTGTGCCAAACAAAGCCTCTGTAATATCATTTGATCCTCATCTAGTTTAGTTTAGTTCAGGTCGCATATATAAGTTTCATTGGTTTCAGTGTGTTTGTTTCAGAAGAGGATGAAGCGCAGCATGGTGAGGCATCACGCTCCTGACGTGCTCAAAGCATATTATCAGAGGTAAGAAACATCTCCAGCCCGACAACATCACATGCATCGGCTCCTGAAATACATCTTCAAAAGTTTAACAATCTTAAACATGCAATGATCAGACAGCAGCATGCAGTGATCCAGTCAGGTGTTCAGACACATCTACTCCTGAATATTTATCATCTATTCTCATCAATATTCGTCTTCATGAGAATACAGCTTATACACAATACACCAAACCCATAAAATCACTGACGTCAACAATTATTCAATAAACCAGTTGACAGTGAAACAAAGCTTTGTGTGCACCTGTTCCTGTATTTTTCAAATACATCTAAAAGTAATTTACTGCCCTTGTATATTATGATTATTGATAACAATTATGAAGTATATTAAAGTCTGGGAGTAATGTAGTGATCAAACATATCATATTTGAGCTTCATTTCTGTCTAGATCAGAGATGCTCAAACCAGAGCTTGTGGGTCTTGTGGGTTTTTTTGCATTGAAATGTAAAAAAAAATTAGTGTGTGTATGTATATATATATATATTCAACACCGGTCAAAAGTTTGAGATCAGAATGATTTTTAAGGTTTTTACAGGAGTCTCTTCTGCTCATCAAGGCTGCATTTATTTGATCAAAAATACAGGAAAAAATTTAATATTGTGAAATATTATTATGATGTAAAAGAATGTTTTTGTATTTTAATATACATTAAAATTTAATATATTTCTGTGATGCAAAGCTGCATTTCCATCATCATTACTCCAGTATAAAGTGTCACATGATCTTCAGAAATCATTCTAATATGCTGATTTATTATCAGAATTATCAATGTTGTGCTGCCAAATATTTTTTTTGGAAACTGATATTTCACAATATTACATTTTTTCCTGTATTTTTGATCAAATAAATGCAGCCTTGATGCAGCCTAAAAATCATTCTGATCTCAAACTTTTGAGCGGTAGTGTGTATATATATATATAGTCTATATATTCTATAGTCTATAAATAGTCTATAGTTATTTTTTTTTACTTTTAAACTTAAGTTAAACCTTTTTTTAAAGTTTGCTAATAATTTGAGTAATTGAAGCAGAAGGGTTTTAAGGTCATGGACACTTGTTGGAGGTGTAGATACATCAGCTTTAAAAAAACAGCTCTGTTTGTTATTCTCCCAAAAACCAAATCAGATGAAACCAGATGATCTGACTTCTGACAAACACGCTGGTGTCTGAAGGAAAGCTGCGTTACGCTGCGTTACGAGCGCGGCGGATCTGTGAGGGCTTCATGGTTTCAGGTTAATGATGGGCCTCGTCTGCTTTGGCTTTCGGAGCCGTGGAGGCTGAATCCGTCAGGGACGCTGACATGTCCTGGCTTGCTGTCCTCTCTTCTCATTGTTAACTCTCTTCTCGTTGTTGTTGTGTGTGGTAATGAAGGTACCGCAGCGAAGCCCAGACTCGTCCTACAGCCCCGCTTCTGCTGGAGCTCGCCAACCAGGTACTGAAATACACGCTTTATTATTCTCCAGCAGAGTTTTGCTCAAACATAATTAACCCAGAAGATTCCGAGATTCATTGGGAGTGTTCCCAGTCTGTTAGTACTTATAAAAATTGGGCTAATGGTTGGGCCTATTAACCAATGATTTGGTGCAATTATCCTTCATGGAAAAATAGTTGAGTGTCATTATCATAAGTGACTTTCATAAATGCGTCTGCGCTCTGTTATTGACACGGAGGTCAGTGGTTAATATCTCTGTTTAGGTGTGCTGTTTACATATTGAAGCTCTCTCTTACTTCTGAAGCTTCATTAAGCATTGGAGTGATTCCTGTGTCAGTGGTGGATCTCTCATTACAGGCTGATCTGCTCACACTCCTGCCATCATCAGAGAGCGCCGTTTACTCACAGATCTCATGAGAAATAATGATACAGCCTCCATTCATTACTGCAGGAACCATGACATCTATTTTCTCCCAAATGCATATTTTATTATTTAATTTAATTTAAATTGTATTTAATTTAATTTAATTACATTTTATTTATTTTAAATAAAATAAAATTATTCAATTTAATTTAATTTAATTTTAAATAAAATATTTAATTTAATTTTAATTTTTAATTTAATTTTAATCAAAAGCATGTCTAATCGTTTGATTTAAATTTTTTTTTAATAATTTACAATAATTTTAATGATAATAGGGCCCTATTAAATTTATTTATTTATTTAAGTCAGAAATTCTGTGTTGTCCGTTGTTAGCTGGATTCTGTGTTTTATGATTAATATGATTTAATACTAATTTATCAAAAACGGAGGTAATTAAGTGAATGCATAAAACATTAAAATATGATCAAATAAAACTTAAACATTTCTTTTATTTTTTTGGCAAACAAAGTGCTGCACGACAGAGGTTTACAGTTTCAATTAAACATGAACAAAACAGTGTAAAAGTAAAAGGGACACTTTATTAAAAACCTGTATTTATAATACATTATATAAGTTCATTTTAAAGGTGACATATTATGCCCCTTTTTACAATATGTAATATAAGTCTCAGGTGTCCCCAGAATGTGTCTGTGAATTTACAGATTAAGGGGCGGTAATATTATAATGAGATCCCTTTGCCACGTCACCAAGGGAGCGAGATCAGACACACTCGTTTTCTCAGACGCTTGCAGAAAAAGGCTTCCCAAAACAAAGTTACTGGGTTAATCTTTTCCACGTTTCCTTGGTTGGTAGATGCACCGGAGACCTGATTATAACACTTACAACCTGGAAAAGTCCGATTTTCATGATATGTCACCTTTAAGGCATTATAATGCATGCATGTTGTCTTATGAAAAAAACAGTTACAATGCTCGCCTGTTTTTAAGAGTATGATTTATAACACTATGAACACCTTGGATTACAGTTGCCATAGTTATTATGAGTTTACAGTCTCATATCTTGACATTAAGATCTTCTAAATGTGGTATTTTTCTGGGAAAGTGACAATACGGAGTCTTCATGTAAGAACGGTTTTATAATGTGGGCTTAATATTTATAAGTGGTCTTTGTATGCTTTAAGTATTGTCATCTTTTAAACAGCCGTAAGATCTCATTATTGCATTATATGACAGATTTGGCTTATAATGTGATATCAATAAAGTGCTATTGTGCTGTTTCTGATGTAAAAGGTTTTCCAGTGAGCCTCACAGAAACACTCCGATATGAACAACAGCACAGATCTTAATTAAAGAGTGTCAAGATATACATTTAAAATAAATACATAATTTATTATAACATAAGTGGTTATAACATTGTGTGTTATAAATCGTACTATAAAACACCTGTTTGTGGTTATAACTTTTAAATGTATTGTAACTGTTGTTGTGATTATTCATGAGATGATTCAACATCTTATGTGTTGTGAATAAAGTATTTGTTTGTAATGTGTGAGGGTTGCAGGAACGGTTTGTTTGATGATGTTGTGTACTTTTGTGTTGCATGATAATGCATCCAGAGCTCTGCAGTGATTGTGAATCAGCTGAACTGATGTACAGTTATTGTTGAAGGATCTGAGCGCTCTTCTTCATAAGTGTCTCATGACTCAGTTTAATGCTCTGCTTCACATTTACACTGTGCTCTCATGCCGCTCCGCTCGCCGCTAATTGCTACAGTCATAGCGCTTTATGGCACAATATATATCTCCAACTGAGCTGCACTATAAAAACATGAGAATTGGAGCCCATCGCTCGACACACAAACAGCAGTGAATCCAGACCAGTGTCTGTTATTTAACCTGATTAAAGAGTGATGAATGTGATTGGAGCTTCATAAACGTTACTCACACGTTTCAGATGAGAGATCCGCTCACGGTTAATCTGAAAACGATGAGAAGGAGCACCTGAATCAGGCAGACGTCATTATTCAGTGTCAGCTGTGTGCGCTTGCCGTGTTCTCCTCATCCAGCCGTGTTACTCGTGATCGTGAGTCTGTGAGCTTCAGAGACAGAGAGAAACCTCGGGCTGCAGCGCAGGAGCGTTCACACCGTCTAATGATGACTTCTGTTTCTGTGTAACTGCTGTAGTGACCTCACACCACACTGAACACCATGCACAACCAGCATCAGCAACAGTCAGTTTACCTATGGGTTACCTCAAACTTAAAGGGTTAGTTCACCCAAAAATTTAAATTAGGCTGCGTTTTACTCACCCCCGAGGCATCCTAGGTGCATATGACTTTCTTCTTTCAGACGAATCCAGTCGGAGTTATATTAAAAATTGTTTTTGATCTTTCAAGCTGTTTAATGGCACTCAGCGGGTGTTACATGCATCAGTCCAAAAGAAGTGAAAAAAAAAGCACCCATCCATAAAAAAAAAGTGTCTCACACGGCTCCGGGGGGTGAACAAAGGCCTTCTGTAGCGAATCGATTCGTTTTTGTAAGAAAAATAACCATATTTAAAA